GGAGGAGGAGGAGGAGGAGGAGGAGGAGGAGGAGAAGAAGAAGAAGAAGAAGAAGAAGAAGAAGAAGAAGAAGAAGAAGAAGAAGAAGAAGAAGAAGAAGAAGAAGAAGAAGAAGAATTTCAATAATTTCTCTCCAAAGTTTGAATCTTCTCTCTAGGATTCTCTGAGGAAAGCCAGGAGGGCTTAATACAACATAATAAAATACAAATACTGAATTCTGTTTAATGCAGGGAAGCCTTGCGTACCCCAGAGGGCCTCCTTTTACAAATCCTTATGATTCCTTGTGTCTCACCTCCATTGGGATGGATGCTTTCAACATACTTCTTGGCTGCTTCTGTCTGGATTTTGGAGGCTTGCACCAAACTGTCCCTCCAGCACCGGACGTTGTGGTTGAAGTCCAGGATAGAAAACTGGTCATCAGATCGGAGATCACCCAGGATAGTCTTCATAGCTTCGACGGTCTGAAACGTCAGATAAAATCGGATAAAAGTTTGTAAGCTTTTGAACCTCACAGTCTCCTTCCTTGGAAATATGGCTGCTTTTATGATCCCTGCTGCAAGACAGCTATATGTGCAGAAATGGAGAGTCTGAAGCAGCCACAATGGAGGAATGGTTGGTGAAGATGACCTCAAAATTATAACCGGGAGGAGGGTGGATTCTACCGGTTTGGACCAGTTTGGGCGAACCAGTTGTTCCGGTGATCATTTGGCTCCACTCACATGCCCCGGTCCTTTTCCTGTGCTTTATTTCCTTGTTTTGAGCACAGGGGAGGTCGAGCAGCTGACAGGGAATGGGAGTGTGGCTCTGGTGGCTATGGAAGAAATTGGGGAAGGGCACGTTCAGAGGAAGACCCAAGGCCACCCCCTCTTCATCCTAGGGCACGCAGGGAAGAACGGAGAAGGGAGCAATGTGAGCTATGTGGATTACAGGGGAGAAAAGGGCCCTGATTCCCTTCATTAGCTGCAGCTGGGAAAACAGGATAAAGAGGGTGTCTGCGCACAGCACCTTGCTGGAAGCAAAGCGTAAATTATCTTTGTTTGTCAAGTCTTATCTGGGTTCTGGCTTCCTCCCAACTGTATGTGTTTCGTTATCTTTTGAAGTCTGCAATTCTTTATCCTGCCCTGTCTCGTTAATTGCTGCAGCTGGTTTTTATTTATAATTTATATGTACTTTGGGTTCAGACTGAATTTCTTCCCTTTAAAAACTGACCTTGAGAGAGTTTTCACTCCAGCCGATGATAACTGGACATTGGGGGCCAAGTTGGAGGTATAAAAGGGACTTTTTGTGACTTTGTTGCTTTTGTGCCACGCCCCTTTGGGTCATCACGAAATGGTCTTTTCTAAATGCTGGGCGTGCGTGCAAAGTGCGCGTTTGGCATGGGCGCACACATGCTCACCGAACCAGTTGTTACGCTGGTTGAATCACACCACTGATTATAGCCCAACTACATTTTAACCCATAACTATAAACGTGTCACTAGCTGAACTGCAGTGATTCACTCAACAGTGATGGCAAGAAAAGTCGTAGAATGGGGCAAAACTCACTTAACAAATGCCTCACTTAGGAACAGACGTTACGGGTTCAATTGTGGTCGTAAATCAAGGACTACCTGTATAAGCTGGAGGAGGTTCCTATGATGTGACCTAAACCTAAACCACACCTCCAATGAAATTGGAGGGGGGAGGGGGAGAGAGAGGAAGAGGGAGGGGGAGAAAGAGGGAGAGAGAGAGAGGGACAGGGAAGGAAGGAGAGGGAGGGAGGGAGCGGAAGGGAGAGAGAATTGGAGCACAGCACTAATAATCTAGACTTTCCTTACAGGAATTTCCCCTCTTCCTGGGACTTTGCATTCACCTGTTTCATTTTTATTCCCCACATGGAACCGCTGACATCGATGACAAACAGGATGTTTTTTGGCAGAGGATCCAAGTCATCGGGAGCAAAGTAGTGGACAAAATACCCATTGAAGATCTGGAAGAGCAAGGTTAGCAATGAATTTCTAAAAGTACCCTAAAAACTGGAGTTTCCTGCAGAGAAGAATCCTTCACTTATGTCTGCCTGTAGATTTCCTTCCTTCCTTCCTTCCTCCCTCCCTTCCTTCCTTCCCACTCACTCTCTCTCTCCCTTCCTCCCTCCATTTGTTCCTCCCTCCCCTTCCCTGCTTCCTTCCTTCCCTCTCTCTCTCCTTCCCTTTCTCCTTTCCCCTTCTACTCCTTCTGTTTTCCCTCTCTCGCCTTCCTTCCTTCCTTTCCTCCTTCCTTCCTTCTCTCCCTCCCTCCCCTCCCTCCCATCCTCCCTCCATTCTTCCCTCCTCCCCTCCTCTTCCTTCCTTCCTTCCCTCTCTCCCTCCCTCTCTCCCTCTGTCCCTTTCTCCTTTTCCCTCCTCCTGTTTTCCTTCTCTTGTCTTCCTTCCTTCCTTCCCTCCCTCCCTGTGAATGACTTCTTGAAAAAAAAATTCTCAGAACGGTAGCAGGGGAACGGCACTTAAAATAACATGAGTTACTTGTCACACGGATTATGCATCTCTTGGCCTATCCCTGTGGCAGATCTCCCTGCATCCTCACCCATTCCAAGATCTTTAGCAAAGTACCTCCAGCTCTCCAGCTGTTTCATTCCTGCTGACATCATAGGTCACCACAAGATTGCCCTCCACAGCTGTAGTGGTGCAATGGGAGCACTTCCGTTGCTGGGCCAGGCTTGGTTTGAAGGACACATGCGCCTTAAAAGTGCAAAGAGAACAGATAAAATGAGACATGGATTTAAGGGCACCTGAGTTTGGGATTTATTTAGTTATTTATTTA